CCATGAGGGGGCAGAAGACTGAACAGGTCGATGAGGAGGTGAATCAGCTATTGGACAAGGCTTACAAGAATGCGAAAATGACTCTCACGACGCACAGTAAGGAGCTTCATGTGCTAGCCAGCGCCCTCCTTGAGCATGAAACTCTCACTGGAGACCAGATTTTTACGAAATGAGCTTCTTGTATTGAACGGGGCCAACAGCCAGTACATACACACAAGAGGGAAACAAGTAAAGAAGCCCCTATACAATATGGTAACTACACACACACAGCACAACCCTGTTCTAGCGCAAATCACCAAACTAGTATACAGGCAAGTAAACGGTTTTAACAATTGTCGGCAGAATCAAGAAACACCTCCTTCACCCTAAAAGGTGAGAGGCTAAATAGTTCTGACCTAAGGAGATTGTTTTCTATTTATTATGTATGACTTTTGTTTCTTAAGTCTGAAGAGAATGATATGTGTTTTGAATCAGTAAAAACTCCTGCATTTGGATCTAAAACACGAATGTACACCAAGGATTTTATTATTAGAATTTCCGCGATTGAGCACAAGGGTATAATTTCAGTTCAACAGCTATGTAAAAATATCATAAGTTGCATAAACGTAGCATGTGTTTGCAACTGTACCTGTAACCTACGTCAGCCTGTGCAAAAAAATCCCAGCGAATTCTTTCATCTTGGTGAGAGTGTAGCACCTCATTCGTTTCGCAATGAGCTTTTCTCCCCATCAGGAACTTCTCAATATTAACACTTCTGACCACAGCTTCTACAGTAGTGTGACTATAGTGTACGTGCTGCAGATGGCCTCAGATTCGACCATGGCGCAAAAAACAGCAGCTGCCGGCTGTTCAGGTCAGCACATTTTGCTCACAAAAATGCCCCAAGTATATACGATTAAGCCACAGTTCTAGCTGAGATGCAGGGAAGCAGTTCTGCCTTCACATCTCCAGCAATCCTACGATTTCAGCAGAGATGAACAGCTCGGGACGTGGACGCTTAATCGCAAAGTGATGCGTGGCTGGAGCTGGACATCATCAAGCACAATCGTATGCTACATGTTCACAGCTTCTGTTCAGTGGAATGTCACTGTACCCTTTACTGTAATCCTCTCATTCCTCTGATCCCAACTGCCAGACACCAGTTTCAACCTCAGCTGCAAGAATAGCCAAACTGTTCCGCTGGCCTTTCTAAGGTTTGTACTCCCAAGGTTATATATCACCTATGTCTACCAGTAGTCTCTGCAAGAGCACGAACCTTGATCAAAACGATGAAAATGGGTCGGATCTCTGACAATTATTCCCCTGTTTTCCCTTGCTGATAGCAACTTCAGTGTTTCATGGCTTTCCCAGGATATCCTCTGGTTCTTCATAACTGTTACAGGAGCAGCAGATGGCAAAGTGGACAGCCCAAGAGCCACCGCCAGCAGTTCACCATGTCTGGAAAGTGAGGTCTCGCCATCCTTTCTGCTCTGGAATCCTAGTTCCCAAATGTCCGTTCCACCACGCTCGGTCTTCTGTTTCACACTGACCAGCAACTCTTCTAATCTGGCATGAACTGCATTATTGTGTGGGCAGGAGTTATTTCCATCAGTAAAATGATGGATGGATCCCCCAAACTCGGCCCAACTAATCCCGGCTTCCTTACTCATGCCTCGCTCTCTCATCAGGCCTCTAGTCTTCATAGCCAATGAGATTTTGCCGGCATCCATGTAGAGGTTGTACAGCACCACATATGAAGTAACAGCGAAGGGCTCGAGTTCCATTAATTTCTCTCCGGTTTTTATACCTCTCTCTTTGTCCCCATGGATTCTGCATGCCCGCAACAGTGCATGCCAAAGTATTGGGTCATTTTCTGATCCAGACCCCATTATGAAATCTTCAGCCTCAGCCATCTTGCCAACACGGCCAAGGAGTTCAACTACGCAAGCTTTGTGCTTCGTATTTGGGGAACAGCCATAATCTGATAGCATGCTCTCATAATGTCTGCATTACAAAAACACAGATACTTGATGAATTGTGAACATTGTTGAGAAGTTGGATATAAATGCCAGAAATAGAGGAGACTGCCCTATTTCTAAAGTTCCTTTATAGCACATTCTTCAATTAGCATCATACACTTTAGTTCTGAGCATACATAATTTTGTTCAGGAAGGGTATGTCAAACTTGAAACCTCCACCTTTTGCATCCGGGCTTGGGACCGGCATTGGCGGTGTTACTTCATGTCTGATGATCATACCAGTCCCTGGACATTGGTAACTAGGAAAGGTATTAATATAGTTCACATTAGAAACTGAACGCAAGCTACATTTCCAATCTGGAGGGTAGGTATGATATCACAATATAAGTAACCCCTAGGTTTGGCGCAAGTAAATAGCTAATTTAACATGTCTTTTCGGAGCAAGAATGTGGGGCATTTGGCAAATTGATTTTTGGAGCTACACCTATCTATGTTGCATTGCACAACACAATTCCCAGACTATCATATCTCCCTTGCTATGGCATATACTTTCTGTGTAGGATGAGTTGAATATTGAACGTTTAATGTAAATTAGAAAGGTCCTTCATAAGTTGCTACTAGCATATATAATACACATGAGGATACTAAAAATTCACAGGAGGAAGACAAAGCACTTTTTGAGAAACAACAAAACAGGCAGATCAATCATTACTTTGCAAGAGTGTGTACCTGAAACCTTCCTCTGCCAGCCCCTGCTGGCTGCAAGCAATGAGAACGGCAAACAAAGCATTATCATTTATCACGACACCACAATCCTTCATCTTCTCCAGGAGCACTAGAGCCTCGCCTTCATGGCCATGGACTGCTTAGCTCAAAATCATTGCAGACCAGACATGTAATCTGCTCGAATGTCTTCTTTGAAGCCTCAACATCACCTATATTCCTATACATAGAAATCTGAGAATTGCCGCACACAGTGAACTGACCAAGTCCATATTTGACCGTATAACAGTGTATCTGCTTACAGGTTGCTGGTAGACTCAGAGCAGCACAGGCATTCATCACACTCGATAAGGTGAACTGGTCTGGCTCTTTTCCAACAGAAAGAAACTCTAGGAACAGGCCTAGTGCCTTCTCGAAATTCTCATCATGCGCGAATGCTGTAATCATGGATGTCCATGTGACGACATCTTGCCTGGGAGTCATCTGGAAGCATCTCAGACTGTCACTTACTGACCGTGCTTTCGAGTACAAGTTGATCAGCGCATTTGCTATGAACTCGTCATCCTGAAACCCATTGAATATAACATGAGCGTGTATCAACCTCCCACAGTGCACCGCATTGGTCAAATTGCAGACTTCGAGCACACTCTTGAAAGTAAACCTGGACGGTTTTACGCTCATCCGGAGCAAGTCTGAGAAAAGCCTGACAGCTTCGATTCTAATCTCAGGGCAAGGGTCATTACCTAAGCGAGCGAACCCCGCGATCATGGCACCGTAGACCACCGCATTCTGATTCGGGATGCAGTCAAACACCTTGATCGCCTCCTCAAGTCCACCGTTCTTGGCATACATGTCCACCATGGCACTCCCAACGAACATATCCAAGTCCAAACCAACCTTAACCACGCAGCCATGCAGCATCCTCCGGACATCCTCGGGGCCCTGGAGCTCGGAGCAAGCCTTGAGGATCCCACCCAAGGCAAAGCTATCAAGCTTGACCCCTGACCGGTGCATCCAGACGAGCACGTGCACGGCCACCTCCGGCCACCCCATGCGCACGTATGCCGACAGCAGCAGGTTCCACTCCTCAGCCCGGTCGAACACGCCTCGTCCCGCTCCTCAGCCCGGTCGAACACCAGGCTGACCCAGCAGCAGGTTCCACGCCTCGTCCCGCTCCTCAGCCCGGTCGAACACCAGCCTCACCTCGTCGATCATCCCGCACTTGGCGTACATGTCGATGACGGAGTTGGTCAGGAACACGTCTTGCGCAAGCCCACTCACCACGGCCAGCCCGTGCGCGGCCCGGCCATGCCTCCAGTCCCCGGCCCTGCCGCACGCCGCCAGCACCGCGGCGTAGGTGAACCTGTCCGCCCGGACGCCGCCGGCCCGCGCGTCCCGGAAGGCGGCGAGCGAGAGGCGCGCGCCGTCCCCGCCCTGGCTGGAGTAGCCCGCGATGAGGGTGTTCCAGGACACGGCGTCCCGGCGCGGCATTCCGTCGAACAGGAGGCGGGCATGGCGCATGTCGCCGCCGCGGCAGTACGCGCCGAGGAGGTTGTTGCGGAGGAAGAGGCCCGGATGGAAGCCGGCGCGGAGCATGTGGGAGTGGGTCAGCCTGGCCAGCGTCAGCGACCGCCCCCTCGACGCGGCCCGGAGGAGGCCCGCGTAGGCCGACGGGTCGAGGGGAGGGGCGCGGCGGCGAGGTGGTGGCGGAGCCTCCGCAGGAGGGACGCGGCGACGGGGCGGCGGCGGCGTTTGGGATGGGGGCGGGCGCGGGGACGGCTGCTGCCGGAGAAGACGGTGGCTGGGTCTCCGGTGCGGGAGCAGCATCGGTCGTCGGAACGACCGGACGGACGAGGTTTATTAATTTCCCCATTTTTTTCTTCATTGCTTGGAGATCACACTTGGAGTAGGAAAGATGGGGATGTGAACGAAGTTCTGTGTCACGCTGACAGCTGGGCCCCCGTCTCACTCACTCAAGAGACATTTTATTTTATTTTATTTTGCGGGGGAGAGACATTTTATTAACAGCCTCCAAACTACTGTGCAATCACACCAGGGTTAAAACATTTACATCAAGCTCGCAGCTAGAGCATCTCTAGCGGACCTCGTAAACCTTAAACACCCGAATAAGGGCCGAGAAAACCGCGGTTTAAAGCCCGAAATCGGCTGCGGCGAAACAGAACCCGCAAACCCGAGCGGTAAAAGAGAATATTTCCCGAGATCCCCGTCCCGCCGCCGGTCCTCGCCACGCAGGACGCAGCTCTTCGCCCGCTCGCCTGCGCCACGCCGCTCAGATTGCTCACCCGCGCCCGTCAGCCGCCGCCCACACGCGCGCCGCCGTGAGAAATTGGACGATCTGGTTGGGATTGAGGCGAGGAAACGTAAAGAGAAGGCCGGACTTCCCCGGAGCCACAAGAGATTGATGGCTGGAGCCCTCTGGTACGGACGGCAGCGCGCGTGGAGAGCGGAGAATTCCGGCCAGTTTGTGGCCTGTATACTGCCCCTCCAAACAGTATAAATATAGGTTTGAGGCTCACGTTTTCTTTTTCTTTTTTTTGCGGGTAAGAGGCTCACGTTTTCGATGGCCTGTAAAATATTTACGATTCGACGAACTTTTACAGGGTTTGTTTTGGACACAAAATTGATCCGGAACCATAAATCCGCTAGAATTTTACAGGTTTGGCGTTTTTAAGGGGTCTGCTAGAGATGCTCTAACTTATGTTACACATGGCAACTATAAGATTCTTGTGACACATGGCAACTTTTGTTTATTTTTCTTACGTTCAATTTCAAAGCACTACTCTTCCAAAACATGGCAATTTTTTTAATTTTGTTATGTTAGTATGCATCTCTATGATTTTCAATAGGCGAGTGATAGGCGCCGGGTACGTACGATTCGTTTGCTAATAGCCCCGGATGCCTTCTTCCCCCGACCGCTTTTGCTAGTTTTAGAAAAACCATGGCGTATTTTCATCACGAGTAGTTCCCGTGATCTCCCAGACGTCAATCAGCTTGCCGGCCACCCACGTCGCTACCGGCCGCCGCCCTCGACCGCCCCGTCTCCAGGACGTCCTACCGGCCGCCGGCTCCTCTCCAGCGTCACCGTCGCTTATTCCCAGTATGGCCCGCCCTGTTGCAGCACCCCGGTTCGCCGTGGCTCTCGCCGGCTCCGCTGCATGCAGCTCCTGCCGGTGAAGGTCATAGCTCCAACGAAGGAGCGCCGCCATTGCATCAATAGTGAGGTGCCAGTTCCAGCTTTTTATCGCCGGGTTGAAGCTTTTCAAATATAAGGTTGAACTATTTCATGTCAACGATTGTAACTTATCAAAAAAATGAACTCGCAGGTTAACAAAAGTAGATGGTGGTAGACGGCGGTTGCAGCAAAAATTCGACCTCGCCGGTAGTAGCAAAAGTAGACGGCGGATGCAAAAAAAAAAACGGGTCGTCTCTTAATCGTGAGGCGCAGTATGGCCAATAGGTTGTAGCAAAAAATTTAGCTTGTCGTAGCAAAAAAAGATGATGGTTGCAGCAAAAACCATTGTCGTCGTTGTCACAATACGCAAAGTGGTCAGTTAGTTGTAGCAAATTTTGTTGCCGGTTGTAGCAAAACTGATGATGGTTGCAGCAATTCATCTTGTCGCCGTCACGTGTCGCAGCTCCACCATGATGGATGTACCAAAATCCCTCGCTGGTGGTAGCAAAATCTAAGGACCTTGCAATAAAAAAGGAACCGCCGTAGTAGGTCGTAGCTTCGCCGTGGTGGATGTAGCAAAATTCAATGACGGTCGCAGCTTCTGGCTCAGCTGGTTGCGGCTTCCAGAGGTGGCGGATTCCATGGTGGTGCCGCGGAGGCGTGCCGCCGGGCTGTAGCAGGATGTAATGCCGGTTGTTTCCTGTAGCAGCGTTGCGACGTCTTCACCGATGCCGGTTGTAGCCTTTTCTTTTTTGCTTCGTGTAGCTCCACAGCGACGCTCACTGTGGCGGCGCTGTTGACGACTGTACGCCTTCTTGGAGCACGGTCGTGCAGGGGAGGTGCGCCGGCGGTCGCCTCGCCGGAGCTAGGATGCGACAACGCGTACGAGAGAAAAGGAGGCATGCAGGCGGGCAAGCTGTTTGAGCAGATGAAAGAAGACGAAGAAAAGACGATGCAAGGAATAAGATTTCTGTGGACGAGCAGCGCAGCGCAGGGATAAAGACGTGTCTGGGACCCATGTTCGCATGGCACGCGTGCAGCGGACCGGCGCAATGTTCCGCCGGCGCACTGATTGTAAACGTTTCCCTTTTCAATACATGTGGCAAAAAAAATTAAACCATTGAAATATATTTTTAACACAGCAAATTCAGAAATTTAATTTTGGTTACTTTGGAAATTTTAATTTTTTGAACATGCAAAGTTTGTTTGAACAAAACCATTTTATGTATTTTTCTGTGTTTTGTATCTTTTATCATTGTTTTTTCTTTGGTTTTGGACATTTTTTGTGCAACACTAGGCTAATGGGCTGTACGTGGCCTTTTTTTCAGGTTGGGGCGGTTGGGTTTGTACGGGAATGACGGGGGTGGTTAGAGTTGATTGGCTGAGATTTTCACCTGATCCTAAAAAAAAGGCTGAGATTTTCACCTCAAAAAAAAAGAATGGCTGAGATTTGGTTAAGTGACGGATTGTAGCCCCGAACAGAGCAATGCTAGACTCATAGGCAGTTCATGGGGGATTGACGGGGTGGTTAGAGTTGATTGGCTGAGATTTGGTTAAGTGAGGCTTGCCCACCCGTGAAAATCAGGGGGGGCCAATTAAAGTAGGGCACGCAGATGGGTCCATAAAACTTCGTTGTTTCTTTCCGTGTGTGTAGTATTATCTTCGCAAACGTATTCGTTCGATCGGATCGATTGATACAACCGGACGATTCATTTGGTGTGGGAGCTCCCAGACTGACAGTCGGGTGAACATAGCTGTTGTAGCGGTCTGCCGAGAGCATGATGTCAAATTTATGAGAGATTGATTGATCATGTTCAGAGGTAAGGTATAACTGATCCGACGATGTTAGAGGCACTTGCTGTCCGGGAGGCATTAGCCCTAGCCGAAGATTTTAACCAACAAAGG